CTCTCGAAAAAAAAAGGGAAGGGCGGGAGGGGGGGCTGTAGAGCGGTCCTAATATGGCAACACTTAATCGTCCGACGTGGAAAGCGATGGACTTACTAAAGTTTATTGTTGAATTACACTTACAAGTTATGTCCGCTCTATGCTATATTGAGTTCTGCTCCACACTGAAAAGGTAGGCGAACGAGTCTAGCAGACCAGCTCTCGATGGTGTACTAGATATAATAATTTCATTAGTATAGCATACTGCGGTTCTTTCCAGGAACATCTGTAGACTCACGTCAATTACCGACCACTCTGAAGGGAAATGTTACTCCCGTATACGAGGACGCTTGTTAATAATCGACGAGCGCGGTTGAAACCTCCTGTTCTACATGTAACGCTTATCTGCGAATCAGAAGGTGTGATATTTCGGACATGTAACATAAAATTGGGTGAGAGGCCCGGATAAATCGGACAAAGCTGGATTAAATACAGCTTATAGAGAACCGAAACATGAATAGTAGCCCGATAGCTCGTTCCTTTGTCGTCTTGTACTACAAATTAACGAGTGGAAATCCCTCATGATCAAATGAGGCAGACTGGGGTAGTAATTTGGATGGGTTGGTTATAACTTGAGTGCAGCACCTCTCGCCCTGTTTTAATTCTGAAAATTGTACTGGACAACTGCGGGTGAGGATTGTGGACCCTGGGGTTTGACCATAGCCATGTTAACGATGTTGTTTGCTATTTATTCCCTAATCTCAAGTCTGTCCATTGTAGATTAATCGTTAATGAAGATACCACAAATCGTTCGGCTACCACGTCTACAATCAAATAGTGCAGTGAGCAATATTTTTGGTCACTAACGTGAGGTAAGATCTTACTGCTCAAAACTTACAACTGTTCCATGGCCAAGAATCCCAACAATGTGCTTTCGGCAGTTTGTAGTGCTCCTGGAGCTCAGGTGACCGCTTATTGGATTGTCCCAAATGGCTCTGGGAAACTTGATGAATATCTTGTCCGGGTTTCTATATCTAAGGCTGTGTAGTGCGGTGGATGTTTCTGGTGCTAGGGTCGGTAGATAGACGTGTTTATTCAGCCAGTCCAGTGATGTTGTTACAATCACATCATTGAAGGAGCCTCAAAAACCAACAGTAGCCTGGATTTCAAGGAAGCCACGAGATATTCATGGTGCTCGTCACCTCACAGCCGAGTCGGACAATTGTATAGTTCGTCACTTGAGAGCGAAAGACTGTTCAAATTATCTTAGAAAGTCGAAGCTAATAGCAAATTATCTGCGAACTGAAAACCGCGTAACTTATTTAAGCGAGACGTACCTCCTTTCAAACCTGCTCCCAGCCATGAACTCTTCAGGCTCTGGTGTGCGTACTCGTTGCCCATGAAGGCGCCCCATATCTCGACGATTTTCACCATTATGGCCTCATAGGGCACCGGTCTCCGCCTGTGGGCGTCCTAACCCAACTTCCCCACGGACGAAATCCATCATTCTGGCGAGGTCCGAAAGCGATTCAGACTTTCTCCGATTCTTCTGCATTGACAACTCCAGAAACACCCATACTTTCTCGTAGTAAAGCCTGGCCACGTCAAGCCAGACGCCATTTGAGTCACAGAGTGAGTCAACGATCCAGTAGGCGACGGTTGTTGGTTTCGTCATGTCTGCAAGAGCCACCAACGGGTTGCCCTCAGTGCCATAGATTCCGCTCGCTCCAAGGTCGATGAGGAAAGCTCGCCTTGAATTCTGATGGACGTGGGTCCCCAGGTGAATCGTTGCGTCTACCAATGTGACTTTGAAGCCAGTGGAAATGCAACAGTATCAGGCGTCCCGGCATCTCCTCGAGGTGCTCCGGTGCAAAGTAAGATAAACTGAGTGAGTACACAAGAGCGGTTGGGGAGGACTCCCTGGGGGTCTCATAACCTTTCTTTTGAGGGTAACCTTACCGAACCCATTTAGCAGCACTACTTGAGTATTGGTAGTGCTTCGCTGCTTTCTGTGAGACCTACTGTGTTCCATAATATCCATACCTACTTAATGGCGACATAACACCTACGGAGTAGGCACCCCCAGAGGTGGGCTTACTGTAGGCCCCGGGCCGATGCGTGATCCGTACCTGCTGTCAGCCCAACACGCGGGCACCTACACCAACACCAACACCATCATGGCTACTTCCGACTCCCCAAAAAAAGCCAAGTCTTCCGCCGGAGCTGTCTGGCGTGAAATGTCCGTCAATGATGTTGAGGGGCTGCTTCGGGTCGCCGACAAAGTCCATCCTGATCTGCCAGAAAGTGGCTCTGTCTTCGCGGAGCGTGCGAAACTCTTCCCGCGGGGCTGCATGGTTCTGGTCGCTGGCAGCGATATTGTTGGTTATACCATCTCACACCCCATCAACTATCGCGAGCCTCCCAAGCTCGATACTTTGCTGGAACAGATATCTCCCAGCGCGGACCAGCATTATATTCATGACCTCGCCATACTGCCTGCTTTCCGTGAAAATGGCCGCGCAGCTGAGTGTATCCAAAAGCTCCTTGCAGTGGCCGAATCCTTTCCAACAACGTGCCTCGTCTCCGTCTACGGCACCGCTCCCTTTTGGGGTCGTTTTGGCTTCAAGAGCGATTCAATCGATGCGACTTTGACGGAGAAGCTTCGAGGTTATGGAGACGATGCTGAATACCTTGAACGCAAAAATGGGTTATTATGAGAGAAATTGTACACAAATCTAGTAGGAACTGTTTAGTAGCGTTTCAAGGGCTAGTAGGGAGCTAGTTTAGATACTACGATTAAGGGAGGTATAGTAAGAGGAGCTTACTTAGTTTGATAATCGTATCTTCTACGTATTCTTCGGTTCGAAACTACTAACCGGGAGTGCCTTATAGCCGTACTATAAAGAAGTTAGATACTTTCTACTCGTAGTAACATTTAAACTATTATTTAATTATAAATTAACTAAGGTTTAACTTTTAGCTAATTAAATTACTATCTAATTCTAATTAGAACTAGGTTAAACTAGGTTAGAATATATTAGAATATAGTTCGAATATAATTAGATTCTAATCTAGCTAATAGTCGGCTAATAATAGTCTAAGTGGATATAACCCCAGGATAACTTCTCTAAATTAGTCGAAATATTAGTTAGACTATACTTAAACTATACTCGAATTATACTTAAATTATACTTAAATTATACTAGAAATATAGTCTAGTAAAGTGTCACGAATCACGTGTTAGCATGCGACGATTTAGTCCAGACGGCGTTCTGACAGGACAGATACAACCAGAGTAGTTATACCATAGCAGTGGTTACTCAGGGTTGTTGAGTATCCAAGGATTTCATAGCATTCATAGTCACGTGATGGAAGCGCGACAGCGCGCACAAGCGAGCTGTCGCAGCACGTCGATCGAGTAGAACGACATTTGGAGAACGAAGGTTCTATATAAGACTGGCATGTCTGCCATTAGATAGGAGCTTCGTGCTCAACTTAGTTATCAATCTTATCATATTAGTTTGACATCTTTGTAGAACGACATTTGGAGAACGAAGGTTCTATATAAGACTGGCATGTCTGCCATTAGATAGGAGCTTCGTGCTCAACTTAGTTATCAATCTTATCATATTAGTTTGACATCTTTGATACAAGTAACGAGCCACTTCCAAGTGAACAACCCGATAGTCTTCTTCTTATCATAGCATACCAACCAGCGAACACCCAGCCAAGTTTAGTTAGCCAGTTTGAGTATTCGTTACATAAAGCCTAGATTATAGTTTAAAGTAGATTACTAAAGTAAATATAAACCTACTAAAAATATATAACTTAACTTAATTATATAAATTTATATTATATTTAACTTATACTTATACTACTCTTATAAAATATACTCTTATAAAATATACTCATTTATAACTATATATTATACTACTATTATATATTATACTACTACTATATACTAGTTATACTACTACTATATACTAGCTATACTACTATTATATACTATATTATTATTATATACTAGCTATACTACTATTATATACTATACTATTACTATATATTATACTATTATATATAGGTTCTTATAATATATAGTTATTATACTAGTAGTTAGTTATTATACTGGAATATATAACTATTAGTATAAGAAATACGCCTAAGAGTAGTATATACTATAATAGTATATACTAGGGTAATATATACTAGGGTAGTACGTACTAGGGCTATATATTTAAGAGTTATTAAGTATCTCGAAGAAAGAGTAGTTAAGTACTTCGAGGGTTATTAAGTATACTTCGAAGATAAAGTAGTTAAAGGCTACTTATATACTCTTCTTATAGTTTATATATATTCTATTAATCTACTTTAAACTATAACTCTTTTATAATTTAAGTATAATTAATATATAATTTAACTATAATTTAAATAGTATTTCGACTAATTTAAAGTAGTTATTCTAGGGTTATATCTACTTAGACTATAAATTAACTATTAGCTAGTATTATTACTTAATATACTAACTAGTTTTTATACTATATAAAATAGATCTTATTTAATATTAAAGGAGTTAGGTTTTATATATATATACTTTTCTTTTATTCTTTCCTTTATTAAAGTAACTCGTTTTATATAATTCTTATTAGTACTTTAAATAAATATTCTAGGTACTTTATTTATTTATTACTATTAATTAGTTAGCGAAGCTAACGTTTTTAGTACGTAGGGGGGGGGGTACTTACTAAGTTAGTCTTACGAAATATTTTCGAGTTAAGGATTTAAATAGTTTTATAGTTTATACTCGGTCTCTAATTAGCTAGGAACCTCCTATAATTGATATAGCTAATATAAATTCGGTAAAACAGTATAATAGGGATATTCTAGACTCGCTTAGCTTAGTTAGTAGATAGGGGTAGGAATGCTAAAATTACCCTTATACTACAACTACACCCGCGCCTATATTAAGCTAGAATTTCTCTTAGAAGGTATATTGTTAGAGTATAGAATATCTACGAGTTTAAGCTATGATTTAGTATTCGTTATATACTTTTAAAATATCTATAGTGTCACGAATCACGTGTTCACGTGATGCTTGTCATAATAAGAGGCGCAACCCTCGACAGGCACATCCAGGTTTCTTATAGCAAATAGGGATCGCTTAGGGTAGCTAAGCGATCCAAGGATTTCTTCCTTACAGGAGATCATGTGACTAGGGAGTATGAGGAAGTATAAGGGAGGCTTATACTACTCTATACTACCGGAGTATAAGGAAGTATAAGGAAGGCTTTGTGACGACACGTACGCAAGGTGGTGACGGTTAGAACCGTCACAGGCTTATACTACTCTATACTCGGACCATACGCGGGGTATGAAGGTTCTATATAAGACTGGCACGTCTGCCATTAGATAGGAGCTGCGTGCTCAACTTAGTTATCAATCTTATCATATTAGTTTGACATCTTTGATACAAGTAACGAGTTTCACTTCCAAGTGAACAACCCGATAGTCTTCTTCTTATCATAGCATGCCAACCAGCGAACACCCAGCCAAGTTTAGTTAGCCAGTTTGAGTATTCGTTATATATAGCTAGAATAAAAGGGGTTAGAAGCGGTATATAATTATAACTATAATAATTTAATTACTTTATATCTATAAGATACTTAGGTATTTACGTATCTTTATATCTATATAGGAATACCGAAGTAGGTATTATACTCTTACGCTTATATTAAGCTAGAATTATATCTAGAAGATATATAAATAGAATACGAAGAATCTAAGAGTTTTAGTTATATTTAGATATTCTTACTATATTCTTAGGATTAATATAGCTAGAATAAGGTAGGTACCTAGCTACGTTATATAATAATAGACTATATATAATAGAGGGCGCGCTAAGGTACTAAGCGTATAGGCTACGAATACTAAAACTATAACTACTACCTATACGTACTACTCTTACGCCTGTATCGGGCTAGAATAGTATATAAAACGTATATAAGTTAGATATAAATAATCTAAGGATTTTAGCTATATTCTAGTATTCTCGCTATACTTTCATAATATCTATAGGTAGTAAAGTATAAACGTATAAGTATGTATAAGTATAACCGTAGATTTTAGTAAGGTATTTACTTAATAAATATAAGGTATAAACTAAGCCTTAGTATATATAATTATACCCTAATAAAACTCCCCCTAGGCTTATAATAATATCGCGATTTTATAACGGAATTTAGCACTAGAACTATTGTTTATCTAGCTCGTAGAAGGTAGATAGTAATAAATTAGTATATAAACTACTTTTCGAGCGTAGTAAACTATAGGGGTTTAGGGGCTAGCCTCTAAGAAAACAAAGGAGTAGGTAGGTTAGGGTAGAAGCGGGTAGGTTACGTATATAAGTAAGCCTCGAGCTACTACTACTAAAGCTTTTATATAAAGGTCTAGTACTAAGCGAGCGCTAACGCCTTATCTACCTTAATTAAGGGAGATTACTTATAGCTAGATTATAGTTCGACTATATTCGAACTATATTCTAACGTAGTTTAACCTAGTTCTACTTAGAATTAAATAATAATTAGCTAAAAGTTAAACTATATTTTAACTAAAGTTTATATTAGGTAAATATTCTATAAAGATAGTAATGATCCTCTTATAGGGTATAGAGTATAATAGGTAGGGGTAAGGTTAAAGAGTATATATTAAGCCAAGAAGAGAAGAAGTTAAGGCTTATACTTAGGTAATATATAGCTAACGCTAGCTCGTATAACACTAGTCCTAATCCGGACTTAGTACGCCTAGACTTTAGTTACTATATATATAATTTCCTTAATAGTTTAAATATAGTTAAATTCCTTATAGTATAACTATAAGATACTAAAGACTTTGAATAATTATATAAATATAACTAACTTATATTAACTACTTTATAAAGGTTATAAGATAAATAAGTTGGAAAGTACTATTTATACTAATATCATTTAATAACTTAATTATTTAAAAGATCAATATAGTTTTAGACTTTATATAAAAAGATATTAATATTAAGTAACTAAATATAACTAACTGTTATTTCTAAAGAATTATATAAGTACTTATACTCGAGTGAATATCTTAGATTATTTAAGTTTATATATTTGTAAGTATAATATTTATATATATATATATAAACCCGAATAACCTAAAATACTTACCCGGGTATATTTAAATAAATTACAAGTTATATAATAAAATAATAATCTAACTTTAAAAAACACGAATTTTTAAGAGTTATCGAAAACTTCTAGAAAGCTATCCTAGTAATCTATATTAGATTACTAGTAGAAATATAAGTCTATAATAATACTAGACTATAGTATTACTATTGACGGTCGCTAAAGCTCTCTATAAGGGGGGATAGAGAACCTAAGAGCAACCCCTAAACCAAATACTATAAACATAACTATAAGAGAGACTAGTAGAAAGGAGGTAGAGGAGGTAATAGGTATAGATACTATTAAGAAGACCTTAATTAATACTATCTATATTTTAGTAGCTAAGAATAAAGATATTAAAGGGATTGTAAAAGCTATAACGTGCATGTATAGCGAACCGGCCAAACAAGCGAACCGGCCAAAACCCGGCGACCCCACCACACCTCCACGAAATATTAAATTTCTCTACAACGAAGGATGCCTCTGAAAAATGACGAAAGCCGGTTAGTCTTAGCTATCCAAGCTATGCAAAAAGACCCAAATTTACGTGCTCGAGCTGCTGCCAGGACCTATTCTGTAGA